TTGCTTTCTGTTGCTCAAATACACTAATCAAAAGGCTTTTGCACTTACTATATATTCTAGCTAGGTGTCTTCCCCAATTTTTTGCATATTTGGCTCCTCATTATTCTAATCTCAACTCAAATGTCATCTTTTCAAAAAGACCTTCCCTGGACTGTTTAACGTAGTCATCTCGGTCACATTTTCTTATTCAATTTTCTTCATTGCACTTATTATTGTCTGAAATTGTCTCACTCTGTGAAACTTCTTTATTGTCTGTTATACCACTAAAAATTAAGTTCCATGATAGCAGGGATCTTATCTGTCTTATTCCCAAGAAAGTCCCTGTGCCTGGAACTTAGTAGGTGCTATATACTCAAGCAATCTTTAGTAGATAATCATTACAACACAATATATGCCACTCACTAAACATTACCACAAAATGTTCATCTATGCTTGTTAACATTAAAAAGAATAATACACTATACATTTTTTTCCATAAGAAAATTATGTGAATTTATTCCTGCCTAACAATTCATCCCTAGTGGGAACAAAAACATATTTCAGGGGACAGTGTCAATATTCCTCCACAGAAAAAGGTGCTGCTACACTGGCAGTGATTGTACATAGTGAGGGGCAGTGGATTTTTATTTACACTAACTTTTCAGTCTTTGAATGGATCTTACTAATTAACACAGCACCCTAAATTTAAAAGTGAACATTTTTGTGTCTTATAAGTAATTGTAACCGAAACCAGAGTCTAAAATTTTTTTAATCTCAAATTGGTCTTTGAATGCTGACCTCTAAAGTTTCTATTCTCCTTCTTTGCTTATGCCATAATGAATTCTTGTTTGAAACTGCATGGTCTCATATTTTGTTAGAGTGCCACCTCAAAATAATCAGAATTTTAACACATAAAGATTTTTTTTTCTAATCAGGAAGTATGGATTAGCAGAACTTCTCTGCTTGTCTTTACCCTCTCTTACAGAAAAGGTCCTCTGTGGTCTTGATATTTCAAAGTAAAACCCTTCCTGAACTCAGTAGATAAGAAACTTGTAGTGCCTGCTTCTAACAGTTCTTGAGTGAAGGCCATCACAGAAAGTAAATAACAATGGAAACTGAATAGGTGTTGATACACTTTTTGTTGTTGTTTTCTAGACTTCCTTTTAAATTTTATTTCCCCACAACTATTTTATGGGGTTCAATTATAGTAACAGATATGATCCATTGAGGAAAACTATAAATTTCACTTAACTTCATAATAATTCTTTTGGACTTCATATTTATCTGAAAGTAGAATGAGGTAAAAAATTTATTAAATTTTATTTTAGTCACAGTCCCCCCCAACACACACACACACACACACACACACACACGCACACACGCACGCACGCACGCACGCACACATAATATGTAGGTTTGCAGGATGGCCCAGAAACCTAAAATCCTTCTATTGTTTTTCTTTCCTGAAAGGAAAAAAATGTTTTGTGACGATACTTGCAATATAAGTCATTACAGATCTGATGTTATAGTTGTTACACAGTACACAGTATTGAATCTATCGAATGAAAAGGGAGCACAAAGGGAATTTCCAAATGCAGCTGCTATTTCCCATTTGTTAAATCCTTTTATTATACCGTATAAGTACACAGCTGGGAAATACTATAGAGTGTGAGTTAAAACAAAATATTTTGGCTTCCAGACATTCAGAATACACAAAGGGTCCAGTGGAAAGCAATGCTTAATATCAAAAGAGAGTGAAAGTTTGAAAACATTTTCAGAAAGAATGATTTCTTTTAGACTAATATATAACATATTTATAAATTTAAAACTATTTAATACTATCATAAATTCCACTTAATATAAATTTGGTAAGCACATTATTAATATCCATTTTCGGACGAAATTTTAGATCATAAAATTTTGAGAATAACTCAATGAAGAAATTTGGCACTTGCCAAGACACACAAAATTTTACTTAAAAATATAAGCAAAGTGTTCTCTAAAGAAGTAAAATTTGAACTGCATCATTTCTGCCTCAAACTACATTTTCCAGTTTAGTTATTTTTATCTGTCCATAATTATATTTGGCATAAAAGCAAATATATATCTTGAACCCATCCCTTCTCTCTCGTTTAAATTTTATTTCCCCACAACTATTTTATGGGGTTCAATTATAGTAACAGATATGATCCATTGAGGAAAACTATAAATTTCACTTAACTTCATAATAATTCTTTTGGACTTCATATTTATCTGAAAGTAGAATGAGGTAAAAAATTTATTAAATTTTATTTTAGTCACAGTCCCCCCCAACACACACACACACACACACACACGCACGCACGCACGCACGCACACATAATATGTAGGTTTGCAGGATGGCCCAGAAACCTAAAATCCTTCTATTGTTTTTCTTTCCTGAAAGGAAAAAAATGTTTTGTGACGATACTTGCAATATAAGTCATTACAGATCTGATGTTATAGTTGTTACACAGTACACAGTATTGAATCTATCGAATGAAAAGGGAGCACAAAGGGAATTTCCAAATGCAGCTGCTATTTCCCATTTGTTAAATCCTTTTATTATACCGTATAAGTACACAGCTGGGAAATACTATAGAGTGTGAGTTAAAACAAAATATTTTGGCTTCCAGACATTCAGAATACACAAAGGGTCCAGTGGAAAGCAATGCTTAATATCAAAAGAGAGTGAAAGTTTGAAAACATTTTCAGAAAGAATGATTTCTTTTAGACTAATATATAACATATTTATAAATTTAAAACTATTTAATACTATCATAAATTCCACTTAATATAAATTTGGTAAGCACATTATTAATATCCATTTTCGGACGAAATTTTAGATCATAAAATTTTGAGAATAACTCAATGAAGAAATTTGGCACTTGCCAAGACACACAAAATTTTACTTAAAAATATAAGCAAAGTGTTCTCTAAAGAAGTAAAATTTGAACTGCATTATTTCTGCCTCAAACTACATTTTCCAGTTTAGTTATTTTTATCTGTCCATAATTATATTTGGCATAAAAGCAAATATATATCTTGAACCCATCCCTTCTCTCTATTCTGTCAGCCGCCACACTAATCCAAGTCATTATTATCTCCTACCTGGACTTCTAAAACAGCCTCCCAACAGGTCTTCCTCTTTTCATTCAGTTTCCCTCCCATCCATTCATACTACAGCCAGAATTATCTGTGTGAAATATTCTTAAACCCTTTAATGCCGTCCCATTGCACTTAGAATCAAATCTCACTTCCATAATGTCGTCTGCAGGTCTTTTTGATTATAGCCTCTACCAGTCTCTCCAACCATATCTGATGCTACATTGCATCCTCACTCATTACACTCCAGCCACAAAGACTATCTTGAATTTCGTAAAACTCAGTTGTATTTTTCTCACCTCAAATATTTCATACATGCTATTCTCTCTACTATTTTTACTCTTTCTTCTATTCTATACCTGGCTGGTTCCTATCAACCTCAGGTCGGAGAAGGCATTCCTATCCATCCATTCATAATTAGATTTCTCCCTTTATGTTCTCACATAGCATTCTGTTATATTTGTTCCTAACACATATCACAATTTTAATTATGCATTTATGCATGTATATTTGTTTAATTTCTGTTCTCGCTCCTAGATATAAACTCCATGAAGGCACAATCATGCATGTTTTGTTCACCACTATACAACCAGCACTTAGTAGAATGTTGCACCCAGAGAAGGTGCTACATAAATAATTGTTGAAATAAAAATAAAACATAGCCTGAATACATAGCTTGCCAAAAATCCAGTGACAGTGATTTGATATCTATTTCACCCATGCTATTTTGAAGGTATAAAATGAACCACTCAAGTTCAATCAGAAAACTGACTTCCAGTCTTGCTTTAGTATACTTTCTCTCTTCCTCCTATTCAAGGAAAATAAATCTTCCAGTGGATCCATCTGATTTTATAATGATGATACCCTTCGAACCTAAAATGAATTTAGAAAACTCTTATGTTTCTTCCAATCCTCTACATCTCACCTAATGCTCCAGAGTACTAGTTATGTCTCCAAATCACGTGAAAAAGAAGAGTGTCTGCATCTATAAATTATGAAATCCAGTCTTTGAACTGGTTCTGAGACATTAAGCATATAGCGAGAATTGAAATACATGTTGTTAGTAGTATTTTTATTAAGAAATAAAACTTTATCTATTTGCCCACTTAATATACTTTCCATTAACTTAACCAAAAGTTAAGAAATGTAAAACATGGTCTAAAATTCCTAATCGAATAAAATACATTAAGGTTTTGGTCAGTTCTAGATACTAAAAAAATTGAATACTTTTGCTTAAACTACACAATGTCACTTGCTATGGTTTCTGTTTTGATTATTAAAGATGAAATTTAACACAGGAAAGCTCCCTAATGCACTGCATGTATTTGATGCTGTTGATTCTACCTTTAGGGAAAACTCTTGCAGTCTGATTGTATGATACTCAGGAGCTTTGCATGTCCTTTTGAAATTAATATATAGGCACATAAGTGAGAAAAGCTTTATTATAAATCAAGAATAACCATTAAAATTGACAAATACCTGCATTTCCTCACTGAAGATGTATTCGCCATATGATCTCATCCACATAGACATGTTTGCTTAATACAATTTTTCAATACTAGTACACGGCCACACTTTATTTGATCATATCTATTTTGTGGTATTATCAAGTTCACCACCTTAAATTCAGAGATTCAAAGAATAAGATAACTAAATCTCCTCCACATTAAATTAAATATCTTTTGGGAAAGTGACCTAATAATGGACAAAAATGAAATCACAAACCATTTTCCATTTTTCCCCCTTACTAGTATATTAATAATATATACGGTGGTTGTTTCAGGACCTGAACACAAAAAACTCTAATGATGTATATTTCGAGCTTTCTCTAAAACACCTATATGTAATGACGCATACTAACAAACACTAGTGACAGTAGCCAAAAATTCAAAGCTCACCATTCTTTGCTGAGATGACAGAACGTTGTCCCAGTCAGCATCTTGTTGAATGGTATTGACAAGTGTTGGTAGCTCCTCAGAGTGAGGTTTGTTGTGCATTATGGGGTGCAGAGGCAGATGGGAGGCCACATGTTGATCACTGCCTTCTTCCTTTTCCCTTGAGGTCAAATCTTGGGTCATCGCTTCCTCTCCATCAGCTGCACAGGCAAATGGAGAGGTGGCTTGCTTGGAAGACATTCTTCTGCAGAAGAAGAAAACAGTGTGGATTAAAAAAGCTGTTGATGACAAAAAAAAAAAAAACCTATCCCTTACATTTGACTAATTTAGGAAAAGAGGAAAGTATTCTAACTTCAGAAATGTTTGTGATCTACTCTAAACCATTAAAAAAAAAAACTCTTACCTTATCTATTTCTTCCCTCTTTGCTTTTAAGTCAGCAAAACTCTTCTCAGTAATCGGTGTATATTTTCTCTTACCAATCCATAAATGAAGTTTTTATGAAATAAGTTTGATGATGTATAGTATATGTATGTGTGTATTTTTCCTCCCAGTTCTCCCAACTAGATTATAAGCTTCTTGAGAGTAATTTGGTTGATGGCTATCAATGAAAAAAAAAAAAAAAAACCAGATGAATGAACTGGCAAATGAGCTAGTTTGGAGGATGATTTGAAAGTACAAATATCCAAATTTTGCTTATGCTTTATGTAGGAACAAAAGTCTATATAAGAAAATATAATCAGGAGAGTAAGTAATCTATGATAAAAGTCCTAAGCGAATTTGGTCCAGACTTCTTAGTTTACACCTTGTATTATGAGTGATAAGCCTAACACTGTTTAGTGTCAATGTGATTCTTTTCTAAAGACCTTCAAGCTGTGTCAACTGCTGTAATTTAACTTTTAAGTGACATATTGATTGAGTGGCTGATAACGTTAGATTAGTCTCGAGGCAGTTTTATAACGTTTGAATTTAGCATATGAAATAACTATGCCTCTATTTTATATTAAAAAGTACATACGAGATTCAAAGCATTTACTATGAAAATAGTAAAATTCCTACAATGCATAATAGTTTTAAAACTCTTAAAACAATTACCGAATATTTATCGACTATATTCAGCACAAGGTCCCCATTCCGCGCTTTCATATACAATCGGAAAATTGTGATTATTAAAAGAATTTCAAAACTTTTATAACATCACTTTATCAAGATGATTTTCTTAGCAAAATGTTTAGAAATAAAACCACCAAAAGTTTATAACTTAAAAGAGGTAATTGAGTATTTTTTCTAAAACTTTATGCAATTTTTGTTTTATAGCATCTTTAGCTCTAAAATTGCTGTGTAATGAAAGGAATAAAATCTCCACCTTAATTGCTCTTTAAAATTAATTGATTTCATACCATTTTTTTAAAAAATGCACAAATCAGTTAACATAGGAAACCACATGAGCATTTTTCAAATTAGCAAATCATTAACTTGCTAGTACTGTTTCTACAGACAAATAAATACTGATTAAAGGGTCTAGAAATCTGAGATTAACAGTTAAATTTACAAATCTGTCACATGCTTTCATGAATATTGCAGTGAAGGAAATATCAAGTGCAAAGAAAAATAATTAAGTTAATTCCAATTTAAACAGTAGTTTTTATGTAGCAGCCCATGTTTCACATAGGATTTAACAGCTAATGCTAAATTTCTCACAATTAATGAGGGGGCTCAGATTTAGTATCCTACAGTGAAAAAAATTAATATAAGATCAGCTAATCTAATTATGCACAGTTCTAAATAAAAGTATTACAGGCTTTTGAAGTGCTTTGAAACATATTAAAATGCTGATACCTACTTATAATAATCGCTCTACAAATAATAAAAATTTCATCTATTAGACTCAATACTAGAAATAAAATAGGGAAAACGAAGTACAGAAGAATGTCTATATTTTCTTTGAGAAGAAAGAAATAAAATGTTCTAAAGAGTACTACATCAAAGAATCAGATAAATATATTCTTGACCAATTGTAATCAATACTAACAAACAGACAAATGTGCACACACTTAGGGAAAATGATATTAAAGGATGTTTCTTAGTCTACAGGAATCACTCTGGAGCTTACTTCACTGGCCTCCTAAATACCATAGGAAAACCAGGCAAATTATAACTGTTCTGCAAGTTTATCAAGAGCTTGCCATAAACAACAAGAATGTTTTTATAGTTCAGATAATGACAGTACCAATAATGTAATCATTCATATTAAAAACAAAAGAATGAATTTACTTCTGCTTTTTAAAACAGCTAAATACAATTGAAAGTTATAATCCAAAACTCAGAAGGACTTCAGCTCCCCAACAAACATCCTCTTATTATAAAATGACTTGGCTCCTTCTAATATCAATATCTGTGATTGTTGCTTTAGTAAGAATTAATCTTGACACAAAACACAAAAGTCTCTTAAAAATAATTTCAACTATAAACTGCACCAATGAACAATAGTGCACAATCCTAATTAAACACAACCATGCAGCTGTAAAAATAGACTAAATCTGTCCAAAGCTACGAGTTGAGTTTAAAGGCTGGTTTGTTAGAGTGTTTTCTTAAGGAAGGCTGGGCCCTCAGTCTTAATCAGCCAATAAATTATTTCCTGCAATTACATTAAATAGAAAATTATCTTCAAATGGGGAGTGTTAATTGAAAATCAAAATTCAGAGGGAAGTTTAGAAATTACACGCTGAATACAATTAGTGAGGAAAGGCTTCACCTCTACTTCATCAACAGTCTTCTGGTGATTCCTCCAGTGACCATTCAAGAAAGCTACCTATTTATAACATCACATAATTTGTCTTTTATTTTGCACTCACAAATATAAATGTGTATCAAGGTTGCAAATAAAACAGACTGCCAAAAAAAAGCAATATTAAATCTGACTGTTCATCCTCAGTTCACACCATCGTCAGGGGACAAGGAGAAGGGGAAGGTAGGATGATGCTAGTGAACAAGCAGGGAAGGCATACTCACACTTCAAAATCCCTGCCTTTAGCAAAGGAATTAACATTTTTTGGTTCCAAGAATACTTTTCCATATTACATTTTACTTAAGTTTCGTGTGTTTACTATAGTTTCAAACATGTTGTTAGTAGAGAAAAAAGGTGATTTTGTCGTTTTAGTTAGGTATTGCTCCATTGTGGGCATTTCCTTTTGAAAAAATTGCTGGAGTTGTTTCAGGTTTATTTTTTATTGTTGGTTTTATTGTCGTTTTTGTTTTGGGTAATGGCTTTGTTGTATTTTTAAAAGGAAAGTGTTCCCAAAGCTTTTTAATGCACGGTTTGCCAAATAAGTCTTAGATTTACTACTTGCTAGATTTGACTTACTGAATATTTTTTGCATAATTATTTTATTAAAGAATCTTCAATTTACTGATTGCACTGCGTTCATTTTATTTCTTTACTTTAGCTTTCTCTTTTAAAACATTTTACTAGACCAACTAAACAGTATTCTAGGAGCTGCAAAGATACTTGACCTTTGGTTATGCCTTTACTATAACCACTACACCATGCTACTCTCCTTTAGAAACTCATATATCAAGCATACACTTGTTTTAATGTTTTATAATGTCACGTGGAATGCTTACTTTTACCTTTAATGCTCATATCAATAATTTTACGTTACAAAAAACTTTCACCCCCAGTGTATTAGGACAGTATCTTACTTTAGCTGCTGCCATATATAACTAAAGAAGCAAAAGAATCAAAATCCTTGTGAAATGGTCAATTTTATGTGACTTTACTTTGTTTTATTTTTGCACTATTATAACTTAAAAATCATTCAAATGAATTGTTTTTTTAATTTGTATTTTTTAAAAATCTCCCTAGTTATACCCCCTGAAAACAGGAGTTTATAATGGAAGTGCTGACACAACCCTAACTAAAGCAGCGCAAATGTTGCCGCTATAATACACAAAATCAAGTTCTATTATTCTAAACTATCCTCGCTCATGGGATTTTTCTTTACTGTGCTCCCAGCCAAACTGCTGAAGCATGAAAAATTTAAATGCAATCAAATGCGCCCAATTCTACTTTACTAGAACAAGTGTCTACAGTGGTACAATCTTAAAAGGAGATGCAACAGATTTGTTTGGTGTTTTTTTTAACTGTTTATTTATAATACAGTGCAATGGAGATAAAATAAAAGAGGAAATTACACTCACATGGTACCAGTGTATTGACTACACAGAGTACATTATAATCAGAGAGAAAAACTACATTGTCAACTTATCACATTGGTTAAACAAGATGGTTTTCTGGGGCATAGCTATTATCAAGTAAAACCTCCAAAGAGAATTACATATCTTTAGGACACATAAAACTAAATTCCCATCATGTGTTCCCCGAGTTTGAAATGCCTCTGCCCAGCAGATCAAGTGAATTCTCAGGATGCCAGGACATTGGAAAGAACTTCAGGGCTTAGGACTTTTGGGAATGAGATTGTCAGAGATAAAGTCTCCTGTAATTGATAATGTTTTCTAGGAAGTCAGTAAGAGTGCCTCTAGAAAGATGATAATTATTTTACTCTCAAACCCAGTATGAAATCTCAATGTTTAGGCCATTACAAACCTACTCAAACAGTAAATTTACTTTGTGGCCTTTAACAAGAAATCAAGATAAGCAGGTCTAAGACTTCATAAAATGGTAAGGACTGGATAGCTACACATTAAGTCCTCTGTCTCAGAAAATCATACTTTCTAGAAATTTATACCTTTCTGATTTGATACTGTTATTTTTTTAAAAAAACTTATTTGTATATGTTTAAAAATTGGGATTATTTTAAAACAACTTTCTCATAAAGCATAGCCACTCAAAATTACTTTTTCCCCCTTTACTATTGCTTGAAAAGAATCCATTTCTCAATTATCATTTGGGACTTATGTAACTATCCAAAAGAGCCACTAAATTTATTGGAACAATATTTTTAACCCAATTTTTAAAAATGTTTTCATTACTTCTGATTATCATCAAATCACATTCACTTTCTAGATGTGTTACTTTACTCAAAAGGAGCCCTGTTTTGAACATAAAGCAACATTTTAATAGTTGGTTTACTTAAAGAAAAAATTAAAAATTCAGGCCAACATTCACATTTATTTTTGCAGCTCAGCCCCAGGCTACCAAGGTAGACTTATTTCAGTCAGATAATTCACTGTTAAGGCTGCAATTGATCTGATACTGAAAAATAAACAACTAATTTTCCAAAAAT